ATAATTGTTGATATTCGGAAACGGTTCCGCGCGCTCTCGCCTCGACGCCGGCTACACTTTCGGTGACAACGAGGCTCCCGCTCGAGCGGTGGCTTGACCCTAAATGTGGGTCCTTGGAGACCAGCTACGACAACAACGGCTCCCGCTCGACACGTCCTCCCCATTTACAATTTACCCCGAGACACCCTGGCCAGAAAGGCCCCCGAACTCAGGAACGGCGCTCTCGCTCAAGACTGCCTCGCAATTCAATTAAGTTGGCGGAGGCCCACCCACGACGACAAGGGCTCCTGCACGATACTTCCTCACGGCTTACTCCGAAAGCCCCTGGCCCAGAAGGCCCCCGAACTCAAGAACGGCGCTTTCGCTGTAGATCTTCCCGTAATTCAAGCAAGCTGGTGGCGGCCCAGACACGGCGACAAAGGGCTCCCGTTCGATCTTTCTCTGTAGGTATTCCGAGAACCCTTGGCCAGAGAGGCCCCCGAACTCAGGAACGGCGCTCTCGCTCGAGACTTCTTTGCACTTCAGTCAGTGGCCGACAAAGAGGAGATCCCCCCCCCGAAAAGAGGTACAATCGAAGACGGAGAGGGCGGGTATCGAGGGTTGGGGTATACGGAATGCAAGACGCGCTTGCCAATAAGAGCGAACCGTCTTAAAATGAGTGTTCGTGCTGTTGTTTTTGTTGTTGTTGAACTCTCACTTCTGAAGAATAAGTGTTGCTGATCTTCCCACCGGTGCATACTGTTTTTCTCCATCGAAGTGTGCCCCCCCACGCTCGCACCCTTTATGTATATATATATATATATATAATATATATATATATATATATATATAATATATATATATTATATATATATATATATATATATATATAACTAGAACCACGCGCGCGCTTCGCGCGCGCTTAGGTTCTGTCGAGTCACAGACCCAGGAATCGTTGCGAGAAGAAATTGGTGACGCGAAGCGTCTTGGGGGCGTCCTTGGACGTCTGGGGTCTCCTGGGGCCTCTTGAGGGGCCTCCTGGGGGCCTCCTGGCGGCCTCTTGGGGCGGAAGGCTCGAGCTTGCGGTTCGTGGTCCCCCTCTGGGCCCCCTCTTGGGCCCGTCTTGGGGCCCTCTTGGGCCATCTTGGGCGCCTCTTGGGCCGTCTTGGGGCCCTCTTGGGCTGTCCTGGGGCCCTCTTGGAAGCTTCTTGGGCCGTCTTGGGGCGGTCTTGGGCGCCTCTTGGGCCGTCCTGTAACGTCGGAAAACCCAAAAGACAACTTTGTTGAAAATGTACGTTTTACGAAGGGAATGGGCCAATTTTTGCGTCTAGGGGCCCTCTTGGGACGCATGTTGGAGGCTTCTTGGGGCCTCTTGGGGGCGTCCTTGGACGTCTGGGGTCTCCTGGGGCCTCTTGAGGGGCCTCCTGGGGGCCTCCTGGCGGCCTCTTGGGGCGGAAGGCTCGAGCTTGCGGTTCGTGGTCCCCCTCTGGGCCCCCTCTTGGGCCCGTCTTGGGGCCCTCTTGGGCCATCTTGGGCGCCTCTTGGGCCGTCTTGGGGCCCTCTTGGGCTGTCCTGGGGCCCTCTTGGAAGCTTCTTGGGCCGTCTTGGGGCGGTCTTGGGCGCCTCTTGGGCCGTCCTGTAACGTCGGAAAGCCCAAAAGACAACTTTGTTGAAAATGTACGTTTTACGAAGGGAATGGGCCAATTTTTGCGTCTAGGGGCCCTCTTGGGACGCATGTTGGAGGCTTCTTGGGCCTCTTGGGGGCGTCCTTGGACGTCTGGGGTCTCCTGGGGCCTCTTGAGGGGCCTCCTGGGGGCCTCCTGGCGGCCTCTTGGGGCGGAAGGCTCGAGCTTGCGGTTCGTGGTCCCCCTCTGGGCCCCCTCTTGGGCCCGTCTTGGGGCCCTCTTGGGCCATCTTGGGCGCCTCTTGGGCCGTCTTGGGGCCCTCTTGGGCTGTCCTGGGGCCCTCTGGGAAGCTTCTTGGGCCGTCTTGGGGCGGTCTTGGGCGCCTCTTGGGCCGTCCTGTAACGTCGGAAAGCCCAAAAGACAACTTTGTTGAAAATGTACGTTTTACGAAGGGAATGGGCCAATTTTTGCGTCTAGGGGCCCTCTTGGGACGCATGTTGGAAGCTTCTTGGGGCCTCTTGGGGGCGTCCTTGGACGTCTGGAGGCCATCTTCAGCATCTCGGAGCCCTCTTGGAGGCCTCTTGGAAGTTTCTTGGGCCGTCTTGGGCGCTTCTTGGGCCGTCTTGTCTGACTGGGGAGGCCTCCGGCAAGTCCCGACGAGCCTCCGGGCCCCCCGGGGCGCACATTTGTGGTCGGGGTCCCGGCCCCGGGCCCCCGGACCCGGTGCGCCGTTATATGTGTATCCGGGAGAATCTTGAGGCTCAAACTGCGCCCTTGGCCCCCGGGTTACAACAACAACGGCTCCCGCCGGAAACTTCCTCACAATTTAGCCAGTCCCCCCGCTCCCGCCCGAGAGTTCCTCGCATTTTATTCCGGAATCGCGCTCTCGCTTGGGACTTCCTTACGATTTATTCAAGAATCGTTCTCGCAGCGCTCTGGAGTCGCGCTCTCGTTGGACACACGCTTGCAATTTAGTGAAGAATAGCGCCCTTGCGTTGGAATCCCTTGCAATTTACTCAAGCGCCGCGCTCCCGACACACAGGCACCCAGGAGTCGCGCACACGCTTAGGACTCCCTCACAGATTACTTCGGAATCGGGATCTCGCTGCCCTTCGTGGCCCCGTTGCAGCCCTTCGTGACCCCCTCGCTGCCCTCCGTGGCCCCGTTGCAGCCCTTCGTGCCCCCCTCGCTTTGTTTCGTGGCCCCGTTGCAGCCCTCGTGGCCCCCTCGCTGCCCTTCATGGCCCCGTTGAGGTCCTTCGTGGCCCCCTCGGTTTGTTTCGTGGCCCCGTTGCAGCCCCTCGTGGCCCCCTCGCTGCCCTTCGTGGCCCCCTCGCTGCCCTTCGTGGCCCCGTTGCTGCCCTCAGTGGCCCCGTTGCTGCCCTCCGCGGCCCAGTATACGTATGCCCTTCGTGGCCCCCGTTCGCTCGCGCCCGTTGTGGCCCCATGTGCATGCCCTTCGTGGCCCCGCTGTCGCCGTTCGTGGCCCCCTCGCTGTCCTACGTGGCCCAGTTGCTACCCTCAGTTGCCCCATCGTTGCCTTCTGTGGCCCCGCATTATCTGCCCTCCGTGGCCCCCGCTCGTTCGCGCTCTTCGTGGCCCCATACGCATTCCCTTCGTGTCCCCGCTGTCGCCCTTCGTGGCTTACTTTGTGTCCTTGTGGCCCTGCTGTCGTTCTCTCTCGCTCTCGCTCTCGCTCGTCGTCGTCGTCGTCGTCGTCGTCGCCGTCGCCGTCGCCGTCGCCGTCGCCGTCGTCGTCGTCGTCGTCGTCGTCGTCGTCGTCGTCGTCGTCGTCGTCGTCGTCTTCGTCGTCGTGGTCGGTCCCCTGTCCGTCCCTCTTGGGGTCGGGTCGACGGTCCGCGGCCGCCCTGCCGATCAGCGCTGCCGCTGGCCAGGCCGACGGTCCGCGGCCGCTCCGCCGCTTGCCGGGGCCCGGTCTGCAGGGAAGAAAGGCATCCCCCCAAAAGGGGTTCGATCGAAGACGAAGAGGGCGGGTATCGAAGGTTTGGGAAATACGCGTCATTGGACACTCGAGCAAATATGGGCGAACAGTCCTAAAATGATTGGTGTTGTTGGTGGTGGTGTTGTTGCTGTTGGTGTTGTTGTTGGTGGTGTTATTGTTGTTATTGCTGATGTTGGTGTTGGTGTTGTTTTTGTTGTTGTTGTTGGTGGTGGTGCTGTTGTTGTTGTTTGTTGACGTCGTCCCACCCGCGACCCACCCGCGACCCACCCCGCGACCCACCCCGCGACCCACCCCGCGACCCATCCCGCGACACACCCCGCGACCCACCCGCGACCCACCCCGCGACCCACCCCGCGACCCACCCCGCGACCAATCCGCGAGCCACCCTGCGACCCACCCGCGACCCACCCGCGACCCACCCGCGACCCACCCCGCGACCAACCCCGCGACCCACCCCGACCACCCGACCCCCCGCGACCACCGCGACCCACCCCGCGACCACCCGCGACCACCCCGCGACCACCCCCGCGACCCACCCGCGACGCGACCCATCCCGCGACACACCCCGCGACACACACGACCATCCCGCGACCCACCCGCGACCCACCCCGCGACCACCCCCCACCCGCGACCCACCCGCGACCCACCCGCGACCCACCCGCGACCCACCGCGATCCACCCCGCGACCCACCCCGCGACCCACCCGCGACCCACCCGCGACATACCCACACTGTTTTAACGAAAAAATCGGCGCCTGCGGCGGGCTCGTTGTATAATTTGTGAAACTGTGGTACCTGAGGCGGGCTTCTCCAGAATCTCGCAAACTGCCTACGTCCCCACTGCCCCCTCACTCTTATCCGCATCTGCGGTGTGCTACGTATTTCTTGGCATGGGCCTCCACTGCACTGCTGAAGACGCACGAGGCCCTCGGACAGGGACACAAGAATACCACGCGGACGGGCTCCTCACGGCGGTGTGCCACCGATTACCCGTTCCTCCTCCCGAGCTCGGGCCACCTGGGCGGCCCTCAAAAGTCGGCGGCAGGCGAGGGGGGGAAATGAGAAGGAGAAGGCCTTCTCAAAGGCGGCGGGACTTCTCAGAAGCCCTAGCGCCTTCTCAGAGGGACGGTTTGAGAACTTCGCATGAGGCCGGGGGACGTCCGAACCTTCTGAGAAGGCCTTCTCCTTTTCACTTCGCCCCTCGCTCGCCACCGAACAAAGAGACGGGGGGTCACCGTGCGCCTGGAGAAGCCAAACTGCAACGATACCGATACAACCTGGACCCCTCCTGTTTCGCGTTCTGACCAGGATCTCAGGGCGAGTCCAGCCATGGCAACGAAGGCCTCCCTGGAGGCCCAAAAGGGCGGTATGCGTATCTGGAACCTTGTCCTCCTCCGAATGTCGGGGTACGTTGGCCGATTCAAACCCCGCCGAC